TTTACTCACTCAATCATTTACTCACTCACCCAAGGACTTACTCACCCACCCAATCCAACCACTAATTCACTCCCACAAATCACTCACTCATCTACTCGCTCACTCACTCACTCACTCACTCACTCACTCAAACAAACCACCCAATCATCTACTCACTCATTCACTAACTCAATCAATCATTTACTCAATCATCTACTCACTCAATCATTCACTCACCCAGTAAGTTTAACAACAGCTCTACTCACTAACTAATTCAGCCATACCAATCACTCACTCACTCACTCACCCACACCAATCCCTCATTTACGCAAATAACTCAATCACCCAAATAAATCACTCACTCACTCACTCACTCACTCACTCAATCATCTACTCTTTCACACATGCACTAATTCAATCATCTACTCACTCACTCACCCAAATCAATCACTAACTTTACTCACTCAATCACTTATTTACTCACTCAATAACTCATCACCCACCTAAACCAATTACTCATTCATTCACTCAATCATCTACTCACTCACTCACTCACTCACTCACTCACTCACTCACTCACTCACTCACAACAAATAACCCAATCATCTACTCACTCATTCATTAGCTCAATCAATCATTTACTCAATCATCTACTCACTCAATCATTCACTCACCCAGTAAGTTTAACAACAGCTCTACTCACTAATTAATTCAGCCATACCAATCACTCACTCACTCACTCACTCACCCACCCACACCAATCACTCATTTATGCAAATAACTCAATCACCCAAATAAATCACTCACTCACTCACTCACTCACTCACTCACTCACTCACTCACTCTTTCACACATGCACTAATTCAGTCATCTACTCACTCACTCACCCAAATCAATCACTAATTTAACTCACTCAATCACTTATTTACTCACTCAATAACTCTTATTACCCACCTAAACCAATTACTCATTCATTCACTCAATCATCTACTCACTCACTCACTCACTCACTCACTCACTCACTCACTCACTCCCTCACTCACTCGCTCACTCACTCATTCATTCATTCATTCATTCATTCATTCATTCATTCATTCACTCATTCACTCATTCATTCATTCATTCATTCATTCATTCATTCATTCACAAAGTGCAGGCAAATCAACCACAAGCCAAATCCAGGAACATTTGAAGAAAAGCATTGAGATCAGTGCTGAAACAGAACATCTCAGCAATCAAAAACACTGATAATCACAATCTGTAGACGCATAAATAAATCTCTAATAATAAATATGATACACGCTTCTGTAGGTAAATCAGTGCAAAAGAGTAGAAGATCATTACAGATGTCTGAAAAACACCAAATAAACAGGGAAACCAGGTCCAGAAATGAGAGAAGATCCAACAGAAACAAAAGCAGACGGAGGTCAAATGAAGAAGACACAGAAGAAGAGGGATTTACAGACGAGGTTTCTCACAGCAGAACTCAACTCATTTCCTGAAGACGCTGCCCGATCTCCTCCATCTGATGCAAAGCAGGAGTTTCTCAGTCTGGATGAAGATCTGGACCACTGCTTAAATCCTAATGAAAGATGCTGTCGTGGAAGAAATCAGCACGCAGGGTTATTCTGGAGGAGTTTATTCTCAATCATCCCCTTTTGTGGAAGAAGAGACCAGCGTTCACCCATAGAGAAGATGCACTGCGGCAAAGCTTCTCTCATTTAGAGTTTATGTCCTGTTTCTAGTCCAAATATCTGAACATTCTGAAATCAAGAAGCATTTTCTGGACAAGCAATACATCTAGTCTTGATTAAGAAATAAAGAGTAAAAATTAAGTGAGTTTTTCATTAAAACAAGCAAAATAATCTGACAATGAGGGAATAACTTAATAAATAATCTTGTTTTTGCTTTGAAATCTGGTTATTTTATCTACCCAATGGTAGATTATTTACTTTAACTTGAAAAATCTGAAATAATGCATCAAAATTAAATGAAAAAAAAAGATAATTCTGTCAGTATTATACTCATCATTTCAAACCTTCTTTCTTCTACAGAACACAGAAGAAGAATGTTAGAAGAATGTTGGAAACCTGTAACCACTGACTTTCACAGCATTTGTTTTTCCTTCTATGAAAGTCAAAGGTTTTTAGCTGTTTTTGTAAATTTCTTCCTTTATTAAGTTAACCTAACAAATTAAAGTGTATTGAACATAAATCAGTTAATTTGTCCCCTGAATATCTCAAAAATTGAGTTGTTTCAGCTTATTTTAAATAGGTAGTTTGAACAAACAGCTCAGATTGTTTGAGCAAACAGAAGAAACTTATGTAAACAGTAAGTAAACTGTATTTTTTTTGCGTGAACTATCACTTTAAGTGAGTTTTGCCTTAAAACAAGCAAAATAATCTCCCAATGGGGTGAGAAAAATAATAAATAATCTCGTTTTTGCTTTGAAATCTGATTATTTTATTTACCCCACTGGTAGGTTATTTACCTAAACTTAAAAAAATCTGAAATAATACATCAAAATTAAAGGGATAGTCCATCCAAAAATGACAATTCTGTCATTATTTACTCATTTACTTGTTTTAAGCCTTTGAGTTTCTTTCTTCTGTTAAAGACAAAATAAGATAGTTTGAAGAATGTTGTAAACCAATAACCATTGACTTCCATAGCGTTTATTATTCCTTCAGTGAAAGTCAATGGTGTTAACTTTTTTTCTTTAAAACATCAAACTTCACAAATTTAAGTGTTTACAACAAAACAATTAAGTTGTCCACCAAATATGTCAAGGATTGTGTTGTTCCAGCTCATTTTAATTAAGTAGTTTGAACAAACAGCAATCATTTCTTTGAGTGAACAGAAGAAACTCATAGAGGTTTAAAACCACTAGAGGAGTGTAAACAGTGAGTAAAATGACATTTTTTTTGCGTGAACTACCCCTTTAAGTGAGTCTTGCCTTAAAACAAGCAAAATAACCTCCCAATGAGGTGAACAAAATAATAAATAATCTTGTTTTTCACTTGAAACCTGATTATTTTATTTACTCACTGGTAGATAATTTACTTAAACGTGAAAAATCTGAAATAATACATCAAAATTAACATATTAGTTCATCCAAAAATGACAATTCTGTCATAATTTACTCACCATTTACTTGTTTCAAACCCTTTTTATTCTATTAAACACAAAAGAAGATATTTTGAAGAATGTTGGAAACCTGTAACCAGCATTTGTTTTTCCTTCTACAGAAGTCAGTGGTTTTGTTTGCCCCATTGGCAGATTGTTTTGCTTGTTTTAAGGAAAAAATTACTAATATTTTTTGTCAGACAAAGTTTCTAGTAACCATTGACTTCCATGGTATTTGTTTTTCTGCTTCATCTTCATTAGTTTAACAACAGAAAGAAACCAACAGAGGTTAAAAAACCACTTGTGGCAGAGTAAACAGTGAGTAAATTTACATTTTTTCATGAACTACCCCTTTAAATGAGTTTTCCTTTAAAACAAGCTAAATAATCAGCCAATAGGGTGAGCAGAATAATAGTTTTCCATGTGATATGTGTTTGTGATTGACAGGATAATTGACAGCTTTGGATATAAGCGTCTACTACAGTAAACGACTAAATGTAGATTATTTTAAAGAATGTTGGAAACCTGTAACCATTGACTTCTATAGTATTTGTTGCTCCTACTCAGTGGTTACAGGTTTACAGGGTTGCCAGGTCCATGTACCTCCAGCCCAATGATAACTCAAAACCTTCCCTTAAGGAATGAAAAGCAGCCCATTGTTATTTTATAACCACCTGAGAGAGAGTAAATAGGGAGTACACAGGGATACACTGAAAAAAATGTTTCATTGGATTAACAAAATATTTTTAAAGGTAAGTGGCTGCAAAACAACTGATATGAGCTGAATTTAAACAAACATATGAAGGTGAACATTGCTAAATTTCATTTGTTTGTTTAAATTCAGCCCATATGAGTTGTTTGCAACCTCTTACCTTCAATGCATGCAAAATAATCTAACTTTCAGATTAAATTTGTGTATTTCTCTTACCCTATTGGCAGATTATTTAACATATACTTAATGAAAAACTCTCTTCATTTGGACTCATTATTTCTGAAAGCAAGACTATATTTAGTGCTGGTCTATAAAATGTTCCTGATTTGAGCATTTTGAGTTGTTTGGACTGGAAACAGGAGTAAAGCTGTAAGTAAGAAGAGCCTGTTTTGCAGTGCAGGGTTGTGTTTCTCTGTGCTGCGGCTGCGAGAGGCGCTGTCAGACCTGCACCCCGCGGCCGTGCATCTGGATCACCTGCGCTCTCAGAGTCTGAATGGCCGACAGGATCTGCTTCTGGTGCTCCAGACAGGTGATGCCCAGACTCAACACATCCCTGAAACACACACACACACACACACAGATGAAGAGCATGCACACACACACACACACACACACACACACACACACACACACACACACACACACACACACACACTCTAGCTATTTCCAATCCAAAGATGCACATTTTTGTAAAATAAAACAAAGCAAAATATTGGAGGTATATAGTTTTTTTTATTGTAAAATATTGCATAAAAATATTATTTGATCAAATATTTATTACAAAACATTCCAAACTAGTGCGGTATATGAATAATAATAATAAAAAAAATTCTGTATGATATTAAGAAACAGAGAAAGAACAACAATAATATTTAACAACAGCAGTAATAATGTCCACATTCTGGATTGAATTAGAATTTTAGTAAAATCATCTTCTTTTTGTTCTTCTTTATTAATTTATTTATTCGTTAATGATAATAATAATTAAATAAATTTTTTCAGTGACACTGCCTAATTTCACCAAGTCAAAAAACAATATATTATTATTATTATCTTCTTCATCATCATCATCATTATTATCATTAGTAGTATTAGTTGTATTATTATTATTATTATTATTATTATCATTATTATTAATAATTTTATTATTATTATTATAATCATCATCATTATTATTAATTTTATTATTATCATTAAAATTATTATTATTATTATTACTATTATCATCATTATTATCATCATCATCATCACTATTATTATTATTGTTATTATTATCATCATTAATAATAATTATATTATTATTATTATTATTATTATTATTAATATTATCATCATCATCCTTATTATTAGTTGCAGTAGTATCATTAGTGTTGTTATTATTATTATTATTATTATTATTATTATTATTATTATTATTATTATTATTATTATCATCATCATCATTCTTATTATTAGTTGCAGTAGTATCATTA